GGAACCCACGTGAAAGCATGCTCCACTGTGTCATGGCTCCGGCGCGCCCTTTCTGTGGAAGAGTGTGAAGTCAGGGGAGATCAGGTGCCTCCGAGAAAGTAACCGAATTTTGGGAGTGCTCTGTGACAGGGGAAAAAAAACACCATCCCAACAACTCAGCAGGCGACGATGCAAATTATCAGAGCCGCTTTTAAAGCTCATTATACACACACTTCTTGCAACTGAAGAGTTTCCCGGCAAACAGCCACTGGGCCACTGCACTTCCGTATTTCCTTCTGAGAAACTGCCAATCTTGCACAGAGCTCCTATCATGGTGCAAACTCTTAAATCCATGCTTAAAAATTTACAAACAAGCAGTAACGGTATGTTATCAACCCAGCTCAAGCAGAACTGAGATTAACATCGGATGCCCATTGGCTTCATGCCAACTCGTATCACCTCTCACAGTCCTGCCCCATGTAAAGCCAAATGTCTAACAGCAAGCTGAACATTTTCACCTGTTTTTAATCCTATAGCCATAAACCAGCGACTGCTTCCCAAGTCTCATATCTGTAGAGCCATGTTCCCCAAATCTCTACTTGAATGCATCAAGCAGTCTTGTGTGTGTTACTCTTCCACTGGGCCATGAGTGAACTAATCAACTTCAAGCCGATAATCAACCAAACTGGGAGTGCAGAAGGTGAACTGCAACAAAAAAGGAACAGACGCAGGTTCCTCAGTAACAGGTCTGCAAACATTTATGCTAGAGAACATGGGAAAATTCGGAGTAAAGAACTTGGTGACTTTGCCTATTAACGCACAGATCCCCAGCACATTGGCAGTGAACCATAGAGGCATCACAGCATGGTGCAGGAATTGACAGCAAGCAAGGCATCTGGTGGGTGACACTGAGGTCTGCAAACCAGCGTAATGGCTGACCTGAGTCTGATGGCCAGCAAGAGCCTAGGAATCCCTTCTGAACGAGTAAGAGAAATAAAGGATGGCTTCTATATCCTACTGTATACATAATCATAAAGTGGGGGGAAGCATGTGCATGCAGTCACATGAGACTCACATGGGTCAGAACTCTCAGCAGCATCGTCACACAAATACTGCAGCATCTCATCAACTAAGACCTGGAATCACAACTGCAAGCAAAAGACAACAGGACTGGCCTGTCTGTAGATTTCACCACAAGGAGTGTGGGGACACTGTACTCTGGGCCATCTCACCATTTTGCTTCCAGATAACCAGCGAAAGACCTGCATTCCCCATACCCCCTGCATGCCAGATACTAGGTCCTGAGAAGGAAATGTAACGACATAGTCATCTGCATGCCATCGACAGAAAACATCTCTAGGTCAGCAGCGGGGCATGCAGGCAATGTCACATACACGCACACACACACTTCCACAGTATAGATTTGGACCGTAAGCTTGTGGCCCACCTTTCACAACAAAGTGTGCCCGTCAGAGGAAGTTGCATCAAACGCATTTGCGCAACATGTGCACACCACAGTCAAGAGCGAGAAAAAAAAAATACTGGCAGGCTAGTTTAGATTACATACGCCCATCCAAAATAGATGCTGGCTGTTGCGGTGATGGTGACAGTCCCAAAAAGGGCCCATGAATTTAAACACTGTTTCCATCCCATAAACGTTACCCTCACATCAAACCACAAATGGATCTAGACAATTTAAAGCACAGCCCGCCCAAGACATCCCATCTATCTACAGCCCGTCACCAGCAGAAGCGCATAATTCAATCCTGCACATTCTCGGAGACACTTTAGCTTTAGTGGGCGGCTGCTGATTTTATACCGAGTAGAGTCTCAGTTGTTTACCTGCTTAACAGTATCCTCTGTATATCTATATTTGAACAGATGGTTGAAATGTAGTCATTTTCTGCCAGTGCTGTATCAAATTACAACCACGTTTATGGTAAAATGTCAATACAAAGAATAAACAAGCACGCAGGCAGTACAGCACCTCCCATCCACAGCAATGATGCGATTGTTTTCGATAAATTATACAAGTGATTTTCATAGTTGTTTTAATTTTTTTAACAAATCATCAAACCAAATGATGCATATGTAATAGATCGGCGTACAATCTTTTTAAGAACCTTCGTTAAATTATTTGATTCACCCTCGACGCCTTAAAATTTTTACCTATCCACCGGTCCGATTGTTTTTACAGACAGCATGATGGCGTATAAATGTGATCCCCCCTTGTCAAATAACGATCGCCCTACAGCTGGTCGCTTTCCGCCAGGTAACCAGTGCCCCGTCAGCCCGCCAGAGCTCCCGACGCCCCGGCGCTGTCACCAGACCAGTCGGCCCCCTACTCGGATTACCTTGTTCAGGGAAGGCACCAGGAGCCCCCGCCATTTCGACGCGTTCTCCTCGCTGAAGAAGTCGTACTGGAGCTGGGCCGCTTGCATGGTGGCTCCCGCTCGGGCGCTGTCCCAGATCCAGCCCGCGAATCCTCCCGCCGGCTCCTTACATCAAACCGGGATGGCAGCGGGGGGGGTGGGTGAGGGGGGAGACGGGACGGGACGAGCGGCCTTGGGAGCTCCGCAAAGCGGGGCCGTCCGACGGGCGTCGCGGTATCCAAGCGGAGGAGAGCCGGAGACAGCAGCCGACGTGAGGTCGATCCCAGCTCGCCTAGGAGTTATCCTGCTAGCAGCTAACCAGCTTAGCAGCCAGTTAGCTAGCGAATGCCCCCAACATCGGGGCGGTGTTCACGACACGGGCGACTCGGTTAAAAACGCCGCGCTCCCTCACAGGCGCTTACTCCACTTTAGCCGTCACTGACTTGCGGAAAAAAGCCCCCATTTCTCCGTCGCTGTTGTACACAAGAGCCCATTTTCGCCGAATCTTCTGCCGAAGAGGAAGGGAGGGAGGCTCACCTCGTTATCCTCCATGGATTTAACATTATCAGCCTGTGCGAGGAGAAGACCGCCGCCGGCCAAGCGCTCGGGTTAAAAGGAGAAGTGACCCGTGTCCGCCCGGGACGGCCCGAAACGCGCGCGAGCTGCCGATCTGGCCCAATATAATTAACGCGGGTGATTGTTATGGCTCGGCTGCAGTTGTTGCTGGAACCAGGGCGGCGCATGCGCTGTGTGCGTCTTTACCGTACGTTGTCCGCGACTCCGATGTGCCCGTTCCCTCCCCCCACACGGAGCGAGGAGGGTCACAGGCTTGAGCAATGGATCCCGGAAAAGCAATAGAAAATCAGAACAGCGCCATCAGTGTCGAGGAGTCCTATTTTTTATACTACGTAGTCGTACGCAATTTCTGTGCGGTTAATGTGATTTAATACGAATTCTTTGATTTTAGAATAGCCCTTCTTGATCATCTATGAGACACACAGGTATACACATACAGGGGAGAGTGGAGTTTGAAGTCAGCCATCTATTCAGCTCCTCTGGAGCAGGATTTGGGGTTACAGGCCATACTCAGTGGTCCAACGGTGAATACTCTTCCAGCCAAGAAACCAATGAACTCCTGCACACAAAGCACACATTCCTAACAAGCAGAGCCACACACTAGTCTGTGATAATTATAACACTCCAGTTATAGTTATCCTGGATTATTTAAGGCACACATTTAACAGGCTTCTGAGTCAAGAGTCTGGGCTATTTATTTTAATGCTGCTAAACATTGCATGTGTATGATGTAGTTTAAATAGAACTTCCCTAGATACCAAATCAGTGTCTATATTCTTGAAAATTGCACTACACATCTATGGTACTGTATAGTGAGCTGCAATGTCACTCTAGTTAAGGACAAATGAACCACTTTCTATAGTTTTTTTTTCATTAGAAGGGACATGTGTCAAATACAATGTAATAAAAACATCCTGGGAAATTTATAGAATTTGTCAAATAATTCGAAAAATAGGCAATGAATTGTTTATTTATAATATCATCTATACATCTTCTATAACCATGATAACTAACAACCCCTCAGAAATAACAAAATTCTGTTCAAAGACATAATTAGATAAAATAAATGTCTCACAATATAATGCGTTTTTTTATTGACAAATTAAAAACATTAGTTAAATTACTTTACGATATAAGTACAATGATCACTTGCCAAGGATTCATTTTAAGCAACTGTTGTTTTTTGTAAAGTAAATTTTTACAATCCTGTTTTTACTTCATTGCCACCACCCCACTAACACAGTTGAATCTATCCACCCACCTTCAATAATCACTTACCCAGTACAGCATCACAGTGGAATATGAATTTGTATTTTCTTACACTATATGGCCAATATATGGGGTGGAGTGGTGGCTCTGAGGCTAGGCTCCACTATGGGTGGCTGTCATTCATGGACAGCTTACTGTATAAAAAATAAAGTATCAATTATTATGTGGCCAGTGGTGGCTTAATGGTTAGGGAAGCACACTGGTAATTGAAAGATTGCAAGGTCAAATCCCTGAGCAGCAAGGCACCACTGAGGTACCCTGCGTAAGGTACCGCTCCCAGGGCACTGAATTAGCTGCCCCTGCTATGTCACATATGGGTTAAATGCAGAGAACACATTTCTTTGTTGTGTGCTGTGGTGTGTCAACAATGACAATTGATCACTAAATTCTATTAATACCCTTGGTCTTTACATATTCATACATGAAGCCAATTAACTAGTCATCAAGACAAGTATTGGTCCACTCCATAAATGAATATTTTGCCCAAAATCGAGGAATATACACTAATCACTGGCAGTTAAGGGATACAGAGTTGCAAACACAATAATTTAAAAATAATCTAAAATGCATTTATTATTCTGTAATTTAAAGGAACCGATGCAATAAAAATAATGTTGCCTAGAACTGTGACATAACCTAATTATAGGCTGTGAATTTTTCAATAAACGTAAGTATTAAAATACACTTTATTTGTTGTATCGGGAACGTAGACGAGACGTATACAGAAGAGTCTATTTTCCAAGTTTTTGATTGGCTGGTGTGGCTGGGCGTCGTTTCCTGTAGTTAAGAGCCAATCAGCGCCGTTCATCTTATAACCGGGCAATACTAGCGTTTGACATGACCTACGCTTGTAGTTATTAAATGTCTTTCCGTTTTGTTGTTGTATTACACTAGAGCATGAGTAAATACATTTTACCTGTTTCGGTAATTGGAACTGTTATTGGTGTTAGCGTATTGTTGAGGTATGGATGACTTTAAGCATTGTTCTTAATCCATGATCTTGAGCACTGAAAAGGGACATTTCTGTTGCATGTAGTATTGTACAGTTAATGATAGAATAATTTACGTGATTCAAGAGAATCGTTAAGCTATCCAACTACGGTAAACTTTCATTTTTACAAACCCACGTGTTAATTATTAAAAATTACGATTGTCTTCGTAAGTTATGAATTTGACCTTGTTCGGGAAGTGATATTATAGGAAGAATATGAGTTTAGCATTGGTAACTATTTGGGGAAAAAATGCATGGGTGCAAGATTAAGTATTTTTATTGCTTTTGTTTCCAACCAGGGATCATGTTACCGGGGGTGCTTGTCCCAGTAAAGCGAAGATTAAAGGCAAGACTGTGGTAATTACAGGAGCTAATACTGGCATAGGGAAGGAGACTGCACGCGACCTGGCCAAGAGAGGTAAAGGGATCGTGTGTTTGCAGTTAATGTTTTGGTAGAAAAATCACAATGGATTCCGATTAATCAACAGCAGTCTAAATGGCGTTTAAACGCTTTCCCAGATTGCCAGGAGATTCTCGTTTCTGATGTATTTGTAGATTTGTCTTCTGGCTGTGGAACTTGACAGAGCTAATAGTGTACAGTCGATAATGTAACTTTGCTTCCCAGTTAGTAATGCTAATTATTGTTATGCCGTAGCAAATGAATCGTTATTCCTCTTGTCATTGATGCATTTTAAAAAGAACGATGAGGTAGATGTGTACATTGACGGACTTGAGCAGTGCCACTTTTTTTTTTAGAAATACCACTTTTAAGAGTGCTTCATTGGTCGTGAACAGACTACTCCCAAAGGGAGAGGATGAGCTCTGACAGGTCATAGATCGATACATACATACTTTATTGATACAGAAGAAAATTTAGGAGTTGGTAGTCCAGTGGACTTCAAGATGAAGTATTAGCATATTGCGTTTTTAATGCAAAAATGTGAGTATGTGAAAAGTTCATTAAATACCAACATAAAAACCACCACATCCCCATAATGAAAAGAAAAATATCTTTGATATGCAATGAGGTCCCAAAGACACAAAACGATTCAGTTTACAGCAAAGTCTGTTCTCTTGATGCTGTCAGTCTTTTATGGTGATCAGAGGGAATGTGGCTTTTCTATTAATATTAACAAGTTTATGTTAATAGTAATGGGACTCAGCTTTTGAATTATTTTATCCCATGACAGTTGTGTAAACAGTTATAAGATTTTGACTTCACACAGGGACAATATACACCCTACCAGTCAAAAGTTTTTGCACACAATGAGATTTTCTACATTTGCATGTTTCTCACTTAAAATGTACTAAAATACACTCTGTTTGCTTTGCTAACAAATAACTTTACTGTATGTTCACCATTTGAGTACCTTTATTAGCATGAAAATGTCATATCTTTGATTCATCAAAGTAACCTCCTGTGGCAGTTATAATAGCAGAGAAAATTCGAGGCATTCTTTCCACAACGGACATTAAATCCTGCTCTGTTTCATGGGATGAAACAGTTAACTAGTGCAGTTAAAGTTAAAGGACAGCCTAGAACAGGACTATTCAAATCACAATCCTCAAGGGCTGAGCACTGCTGATTTTCCAGCCTTTCTTTACCTGTAAGCCTGTGAGCCTTGTGTGAAGCCTCTGGCCAATCAGAATCAGTAATTATTAAACGAACTACCCTGAAGAACTGAAAACGTGGCCTGGATTTGGAATTGAGGGCCAGATTTGAATTGCAGTTGAGTTGTTCACTCAACTTTCTAATGCGTAATAAGGATAAAAAATCTGCAGTTTATGAAATAAATGGAAGAGTGGTAAAAACCTGTGGTATACACAAACTTTTGACTGGTATTGTTCATGTTCAAGCATCTGAATGACACCTCGATGTAATCTATTTATGTTTGCATATTATGTTAGTTTTTCTTAATATCAAACCTGGACTGCACACTTGATGTAGCATTTGACATGTCCCCTAGCCAAAGTGTCTTCTGTTATGGTGTAAATCCTAGAGTTTGTCAATCCCACAATTCCCTGCTCACTGTCTTCCCCTCTCCACTCTGCAATCTAGTCTTGTGTATACTACTGTCACTCAAGCCATGAAATGCATATCGTTTAACTGGAAAAATGAAGATGAGGAATCCATTAAACAAAGGCTCCACATTCATTCCCATTGTAGATGCCTGAATAAAATAGTGGGGAATAACAACCATTTGATAGTTGTGAATCTGTCTTGGAGTCCTGCTATGAGTCAGTTTAACATCGATCAATCCTCTGTTAAAGCTACAAATGCTGGCAGGACTAACACCTGTTATCTGCTCTAACTAACTGCCCTTGCAGTTGTCCAAATAAGATCTTTCCTTCTGGGTAATTTGTACTCTGTTCAAATTACCCAGTCACCTAGTCATGTAGTCAGGTTTGCAAACATTTGTGAAAGAATGGGTCGTTATGTAGAGCTTAACGAATTCAAATGTGACATAGGATTCCACCTTTGCAATAAGTCACTTCATGAAACTTCTTCCCTGCTATATATCCCATGGTCAATTGTAAGTCATATTGTTGCAAAGTGTAAGCGTTTAGGAACAACAAAAACTCAGCCATGAAGTGGCAGACCATGTAAAATCACAGAGCTGGTCACAGAGTGCTGAAGCGCATAGTGCATGAACTCAGTAACTGCAGAGTTTCAAACTTCCTCTGGCATTAACCCCAGTTCAAAGACTGTGCACCAGGAGCTTCATGGACTGGGCTTCCATGGCCGAGCAGCTGCATGCAAGCCTCACATCACCAAGCACAGTGCCAAGCTGTGGATGGATTGGTGTAAAATACGCCACCACTGGACTCAGTGGAAATAAGTTCTGTGGAGTAATGAATCACGTATTTCTGTGTGGCAGTCGGACAAGGTGGATGCCAGGAGATCTGACCTGCTTGTGCCAGCTGTAAAGTTTGGTGGAGGAGCGATAATGGTATGGGGTTGTTTCAGTGGTTGGGCTAGGCCCCTTGGTTACAGTGAAGGGAATTCTTAATGCTTCAACATACCAAGACATTTTGGACAATTGTATGCTTCCAAGTTTACAGTGCTTTGCTGTTTGGGGAAAGCACTTTTCTGTTCTAGCATGACTGTGCCCCAGTGCACAGTACAAGGTCCATAAAGACATGATTGGGCAAGTTTGGTGTGGAAGAACTTGAGTGGTCTGCACAGAGCCTTCAAAACATGTCATAAAAGTTCCTGTAGGAGTAATGTCCAGGAGTACCAATACTTTTGTCCATATAGTGTAGGTACCGGCATGTAAAAATTGAAAATTGGCCTATGTTAGATTTGAGAATGTTTTATTTGGATATCAAATAAAGGCACAAAAATTTCAAGCCATTACCTTTAATGATTTAAGATATGAGATATGGCTGTTAAGGTATCCTCTGATGTGATGAATGAGATTTCTTTTCCATAACGTTTGTGGGATTTCAGTTCAACAGACCTCAACATCTCGACGTCAAGAAGAAGTTTGCCACCAAGACCACCTACTTCCAGGCAAAAAAAAATGTTTTCAGCTTTATTTTGGTACCTAGTGTAGTGGGTTTATTTTTAGGGTTTTCTGAGAACATTGAATGTGAAATTTACTAATATTTTTGTTCAAGCTGTTGAAAAATCATTGCACTTCAGTAAATAATTTCAGTGTGGTTTTTGAAAGACAATGAAAAGGCATAGGTTGTCAAAAATAGTAAGAAATATCCTTTAAATTTTGCTAATTCTTTAACTGTGATGGAGAAATGATAGGTTGAATTTGAAGTGTTTTGGGACAGTGCTATCCTCAGAAAGTGCTATCCTGCCGGTTCCGCCTCACAGCACTAGCAAAGCCTGTATTTGATGCACAGATGCATGTGAGCTTGCCTGGGATGATACTTTTGGTTTAAAGGCTGAGCGTGATGAACGGTGGACCCAAAGCACGTCTGCGCGGCAGAGCCTGCGTAAATCCTGTAAGGAGGCGTCTCCCTGCTCGTCTTTCTGTAATGATTCCCAGAATTCTCTGTGGGAAAGGGGGCCGGATCATCATGGGCTGCCGGGACGAGGAGAAGTGTGAGGCAGCGGCTCGCGAGATCCGAAGTGACACCTGCAACCATCACGTTTATGCGCGGAGGCTCGACCTGGCCTCTGTGGCGTCCATCCGGGAGTTCGTCAGTAGGGTGAACCAGGGTAAGGATGTGGTGGGGGGTGGTGGTAGTGACTGTCTCCCTCAGCCAAACTCTACTACTGACTCCCATCATCTGTCAGGAGGCCTGAACCACTTTCCCTCTTGTGGACCAAACAAAAGGCTCCTCTTCAGACAATGCCCCATCTTCCAAAGTGAAGTGGTTGAATTTTAATTTTAGGGGTATTTATTCATTAATATGTGAACACTGTTACCCCTCTCTCAACAGTGTGATCCCTTTATTACATTTATCATTATGATTCAGTGACCATGTACATCGCTCTAGGTCATATGTAAATGTATCAGTGTCTTTAAAGGGACCATATTATGCTCATTTTCACAGTTTATAATTTTATTTTTTGGGGTCTACTAGAATAGATTTGCATGCCTCATTGTTCGTAAAACACATAATTTTTCTGATTCTGTACATTTCTATTCACCTCAAATGCTTTGTTAGAGCTTTAAGCCCCACCTCCCATCAGCCCGATGTGCTCTGATTGGTCAGCTGGTATGATTTGTCAGCTGGCCGTACATGTTCCACCCATCTTACAGTCTGCAGACAGATTCTTGCAGGAAGGTGTTATGAGGTGACCTCACAAAAGTACGGGTTGGAATTGCAACAAGGCATTTCAGGCAGGTTAGAGAGGAGTGGTTTCTGTGATGAGATTTACTTTCTTTGGCATGTACTTTGGGCCTTAAGACATTGCAGACTGTTTACATGCACATAAAAGCTATATAACACACTAAAGGAAGGGGGAAAACCAGCAAAGCCCCTTTAAACAAACGAATGTCGTTATTCAGTTTTCTAAGAACGAATACTTTAGGAGGTTGGTTGGTAAGCTGACCTGTTTCTGTCCCCTTTCAGAGGAGGAGCGAGTGGACATACTGATAAACAATGCGGGGGTGATGAGGTGTCCAGCCTGGAGGACGGAGAATGGCTTCGAAATGCAGTTTGGTGTTAATCATTTAGGTAAGCGATCGTGGTGTGCTGATTCCTGATAAACAGCCAACAAATTTTATACTGCCGCTCTTATTCTGTTGGACACAGCAACTTGTATATGTAATGTTCAGATGTAATTGGTGATAATTATATAAAAGCATGTTTTAAAATGTTTTTCTAGTCATGTGTACTACCTACTGTAATTCCGAAATATCAGCAGGAAGTGACCTGTCATGTGACCTGATGAGGTCAAACGGGCCCGGTCCCCGATAGGTGGAGACCCAAGTCCTGCCCTCTCCTGTGTCTCTGGCTGTTTTCATACAAAGGTCACTTTCTGCTCACGAACCTTCTGCTGGACAAGCTGAAGAGCTCGGCCCCGAGCCGCATCATCAACCTGTCCTCGCTGGCCCACGTCGTGGGAGAAATGGATTTTGACGACCTCAACTGGGAAAAGAAGAAGTACGACACTAAGAAAGCCTACTGCCAAAGCAAGCTTGCCAATGTGCTGTTTACCAGGGAACTCGCCGGAAGGCTGCAAGGCATGTCATGGGCGTCTTTTTGAGTGAAGATAGGTCACATGACACTGCTGTGCTGGAGGGTTTGCTGCTATATAAATGCTGCCTCTTCCTGTGTGTCTTATGTGGCGCAGGCACTGGGGTTACCGTGAATGCACTGCACCCGGGGGTGGTGGCCACAGACCTGGGGCGGCACACAGGCATGCACCAATCCCAGTTCTCCAGCACGATCCTTGGTGAGGTTCCCTCGGTGGCTGTGGTGCATCACAATTCAACCATGTGGCCAGGGGCAATTCTAGGATTTTCTTTTTTAATGGGGTGCCTAACAGGGGCCATAATTCATATAGAGGGGCCAAGCTTATCATTAGCCAGTGATATGTCTATAATCTGTTAGTGACAGGTGATGGGGCACTCCAATGGCCAATCAGCTTTCAGCTGTGGCTAGTCAGCTTTCAACTGTGGCCCTGCTCCTGGAAATGCCCCACTGCGTAACCCGTATTCAAAGGAATGACTTCCAGCAGAGCCACAAAAGAAAAAATGCCTTCTGTTTTGCACTATTTTGTAATATAAATGTTGGTATAGTAACCCCCACATCCTTCCCAATCGTATTCCAATTGGAATCCCATCATTACAAACTCACAAAGCATTCTTAAAGCAGTCAAATGTGGGAATTGCTGTCCTACTTTTACCCTGACAGTGTTACAGTAAAAGTTAAAACTTTTCCAAACCAAAAACCATAGCTTAATAATGAGGCCTCTCAAATCACGTGGTGGAGCTTTTAGATCTGGTGACACACATACTTAAAGTGCGGCCAGGAAAACCTGATGAAAGGCATCAAGAGGGCAAAACACAACCACCTCTGTACGAGTAAAACCATCATAGATTATAAGCCCTGCTTCAGCTCCATCAACAAGTGATGTTTCACTGCCTGATAAAGTCAACAACGTCTTTGTCTGTTATGACAGAGAAACAGCAGCCCTGCCAACAGACGTTTACTCACCACATCATTCAGGTTCGGCACACGGCGCCTCTGGACGAGAACTAAAATTCTGTGCTGACCAGCTAGCAGAAGTGTTCACCCACATTTTCAACCAACCTGTCTCAAAACAACAGTTGTATCAATACCCAAAACAACTAGAGTCTTCTATAAATGACTATCTATCAGTGGTCTTTACCCTAGTAATTAGAAATTGTTATGAGAAATTAGTTAATGCTCACATCAAAGCCCGAATCCCAACCTAAGCTGCAGTTTGCCTATAAAGCAAAGAGTTCATCAGACAATTCTACAGCCAGTCATACAGCCCTAACCCATCTGGAGAAACAAAAAACATCAGGATGCTGTTTGTCAGTTTCAGTTCGGCTTTTAACACGTTAATCCTAGCTAGGCCCATCCCCAAACTTCTCAGCCTGGTCATCGCACGCCTGTCTGTAACTAGGTTACGGACTTTCTGACAGACAGATCTCAGCATGTGACATTCGGCTCACACACCGCAGCCACACTGACTCTCAGTGCTGCCGTTCCACAAGGCTGTGTGTTACACCCATTACTGTACTCGTTTTCAAACATGACTGTACATCCATCCGTTACACAAATATAATTTTCAGATTTGCAGACGACACCACCATACTGGACTATTCCCCATTAATAATGGGACAGCCTACAGGGAAGAGAAGCTGGCCCTAACTGAATGTGGCAGGGACAACAACGAAAGAAGACAAAAGAAAAACAGACAGGTTAAATACAATGGTTCTTAACAGCGAACGCACACAAACATTGTGTGGCTTCAGCAGTTATTCGGCTGAAGATGCAGTACAGTATGTAATGACTTTTATTATTACAGTAATAGTAATAATGACACTTCATTAATGCCTTGTGGGGAAATTCCCTTTTTCTACTCCATCTTGCTCTCCATGGCACACAGACATATATGTAAGTGAGAACAAGCTTGGCAGTGAAGGGCAGCTGTGCCCATGGAGCCAAGAGCCTTACTCAAGGGTCCACAGACATTTGACTGTCAACCTTCTGACCACAGATACAGAGGCTTAATCCTGTATGCTACACGCTGCTCTTGCTTATTAAGATTATACTGTTTTATTGTTGTTCTGACTTACCTAGGGAATGGGTCTCGTTCGTAACCTGGGGTCTGCCTGTAATAGTAGATTTCAGGAAATCAAACAGGACAGAACATATGTCACTTTACGTCGACATTCGAGGAAGTGGAAAAGGTGGGCCGGTGCAGGTTTTTAGAGGTTTATATGACTGAGGATCCCTAAATACTAGCCTGATTGGGAAAAAGCCCCCAAAACGCAACAACTTACCACAAAAACACCTGATTAATATCTACTGCAGCACTGTAGAGAGGATACTCACCTACTGTGGCACATCATGGTGTGTGAACTGCTCTGCTGCCCAGTGGAGGAGTTTGCAGCACGTCATGAAGTCGGCACAGCACAGCAGAGGCACACGACTTCCTGACCTGGACCATATTAACACCAACCACTGCTATAACAAAGCTCTCAGCATCATAGAAGATGCATCCCACCCTGAACACAACCTGTTTGAACTCCTGCCATCTGGGAAACGTTACTGGCCTACTCATGGTCTGTTCAGAGCATTTTAGCTGCCTGCCTCGCAGTGTAGCCTTCTGCCAGCAGAACCAGGATTAAACCAAGATTTAACGATACAGAATTTTAAAAAATATAGAGTAGTCTTTTAATTTTTTCCAGAGTTGTATGTCTTATGTATGCTTACATGTACATTGCGTGCATATACTTGTATGTGTTTTGTTTATATGTTGTTTGCACTTTTGCTTCATATTTTACGTGACTGCAGTGCTGCCTAATGAATTTTCACTGCTCTGTGAACAGTGACAGTAAAGATCCTGTTCTGTTCCGTTACGTACCAACATGGCAGATCCTTTCTAGGCCCCATGTTCTACTTGCTGGTGAAGACGCCGACTCAGGGGGCCCAGCCCAGCGTCTTCTTGGCTGTGGCGGAGGAACTGGAGGTCGTCACGGGCAAGTACTTCGACGTGCTGAAGGAGAAGGACCCAGCGCCCCAAGCCCAGGACCAGGAGGCGGCCCGCCGGCTGTGGGAGGCCAGCGCCCGGCTGGTGGGCCTGAGTCCGGACACGACAGCCGGCTCTGTCCCAGCGCAGAAGTGAGGATCCGGACAGGGTGGAGCCCAGCGCAGCACGGAAGATCCTGAATCCCAATGCCTCCACAATTATGTATAATTAAATAGGGTTCCCCTGCCGCTATAATCAGGGATGTAGCTAGAAATGTCACCTTCTGCCCCCTGGCCAATTTTAAGTATTTAAGGGTCCCTGTGAAGTGCCAGCGAACCCACAGCCCTGCCTGTAATTATCACTTACCATTAAAAAAAACAGAGCATTGTGAATAAGGGTCTGTTTTTTAAATGTCCTAACCTACACTGTATGAAGTTCACCTGCTCATTAATACAGCCTTCACCTCTAAACAGCAAACTGTGGCTATAACTGAATACATGCAGCACACAGACGGGGGTCAGGAGGTGCAGTGCCTGCTTGGCTCAGCATTAGAATGGCTAATCTGTGCGATCTAAGCAATTTTAACACGGTATGATTTTTGGCATCAGATATGGTGGTTCCAAGCTTCCCAGAAACTGACACCGTCCTGTGATTTTCACACACTGCAGTATCTAGGGCTTACAGAGCAGTGTGAGGAATAACAAACGTCCAATTATCAGCAGTTGATGCCATTTTATGCTTGTTTTACCATTTAGGCCTTCAGTCAGTGTGGGGCAGTGTTTGGCTCGGTGAGTCAGCGATCTGTCCCCAGAAGGTCATGGGTTTGAGTCCTGACACATCACCACCGGGCCCTTGAGTGAGCCCCCTAACCCCAACTGGTCTTGAAGCACTGGATGCTGGCTCACCCCGTGCTCTGATCCCGAAAAACCTGTGCTGACCAGTTTATACACACAAGATGGGGTTTGTGAAAACTCCCCAATTTCCCTACGGTGGTCAATAAAGTACCTCTAGTCTTTTACATGATCTGGTGTATCTGTCTTTTTACTTTAACTGTCAGGTCATTAAAAAGATACAAAAGCTTTCATTTATTTGCTTGTACTGCATCAGAAAAACGTGACTGGTTTTCTTGTTGAATTTTTCTAGCAATGGCAGTTCTTTTAATGGCAAATTGACGTTTTCTTGTTTCTTGTTTTCTGTCTGAACATTTTATTCTTACTCCTTTGTCTGGCATGTTGTTCAGCTTTGTCTGCCTCTGTTTGTCCTTCTGCATTACTGGGTTGACGGCTTGTCGGTAGGATTGTGTGCCAAAGTAGAAAGACTGATTCCTTGGGTTCTGTGTGGATGGGGAGGCTTTACCCTTTCTGGAATTTAAATCTAGATCAGCTAGTCAAGCTGCTCCCCCCTCTGCTGTGCCTGTATCCCTAAACTCATCTTCCTCTGGTTCAGGTGAGTGGGGAGGTGCTGACGACTCCCCCTGGTGGATTCTGTACCTCTTCGCACTGATGTTCAAGTAAGCCTCCTACCTCATCAGACCTGAAACCCACCCATTGTCCTGCCTTTTCATCAGCTTTCTGAGCTCCTTTTTTTTGGATGATCTGCTGTGGGTTTGTAGCATAGACAGACATGAATAACATCTGCTAATCTTGGAGCTGGCAGGGGTGGAGTTTGTGTCGATGTCTTCATGAATCCTGGTTCCTGGTTGTTCGGCAATCCGTCTCTAAACCTTCTCTCATTAAAATCTGAAATACTGTTTATGAGAGACTGTGAGAATACATTTTAAAGCCTATACTTTTCCTTTTAAAATACTGCAGAATGGTGAATCTGGTTTATTTGGTATATGCTAAACCAGTTTAAACCTGAAAAAAATGCCATTCAGATATTCACATTACATTCAGCCTCTGGTCTGGCAAAACTATAAAATATTATAAGATTTTAAATGTATACACACATACAAATATAAAATATTTATACAAATTGTGAATGTGTGTGTGTATATAGATGTAAATTTAAAAAAAAAATAAATGAGCTATTTTATTTTTAAGCAAAGGCAAGGCTGCATTGCTTTGAGGCTGGTGGCACTATTCTTGGGTATTAGTGTAAGAGAATCTGATTATGCTGCTGTTAATTGTACATGTGCATTTAAATCATCATGGTCGTCGTTAAAAATTGTTTTTGAAATTCATGTTCTATGAAATTTGTTCCTAATAAAATTTTAAATGAGTCAGTGTACCCAGTAGAGATTTTTTGGCGAGTTTCCAAAACATGAACTACTGACTTGCCTTTCTCACTAAAAACAGACTTTCAGTCATTTTTTAAAATAAATATATTTATTGCAAAGATTTCAAATAGACCTATTGCAACATGAATTTTTCCACTATTGTTCAGCCCTAAATTAAAGTTATACTTTTGCAGCAACGAGTGACTTATTTTGTACAAAAATAAATTAATGTAGGAGCCTATAGGCCAGAGTATTGTTAGGATTGTGCTGTTAAAAAATGAAGAAATTTCCATTCGCTATGACTGCCCAAGGCACATACATGCAAGGCTATTACACATTATTGTATGCTATTGCACTTGATCTCTCTTCAGTTTAATATCATTCCACTTTCAATTTAATTTATTCAAGCTACTTTTTAATGTCTTTCTTTATCTTTTTCCAGCAACCAGTAATCTAATTTTGTATGGGAAGAAATTTTTTTTATTTGTGTTTGGGGGGTGGGGTTAATCGAATATTATTTGAATAATGACTGGTGAAATTCGACTAGTAATGCTACCAGAATTGTCCATTCCTACTCAAAACCGCTTCATCTTTTCTCAAAACTAAACTTCGCTTCCATATCACACACAAAGGCTGTCAAAATATAAACACTATTGAGCATTCAGGGCACATTATAGCAAAGAACCGAAAACACTGCAAGTCAAAACAGGCGTGTAGAGAAAAATGTAGATATGGTATGCTATATGTTGAGTTGCAGTACTGGAAACCAACTGCACCACAATACTAAACAATTTCTATTTTTAGGCAACAGGCAAAAGTCCCCTGTATCACTGCATCCATACTGTAATATCAAAATTCAAATCACCTACGGCACTTACACTCTCATCCAACATGTATTCTCTGTTCTAATCACTCAATGGCTTCTACAAAAGATTAGAAACATGTGTAGCAGCCAATAATTTTATAGCTGCCAGTAACATACAACCCCATTTCCAAAAAAGTTGGGACATTGTGTAAAATATTAATAACAACAGAATTTGCAAATCATATAACCCATATGTAATTGAAAATGGAACAAAGTATCAAATGTTGAAATTGAGATATTTTGTTGTTTTATGACAGATACAGTTGTGTTCAGAATAATAGCAGTGTGTCTAAAAAAGTGAATAAAGATGAAAATCCTTATAATAGTTTTTATTTACATAGATGCAAATGCATTGGGAACACTACAAATTCTACTCCAAATCAAAACAAGAAGAGAAATTAATCACATTTGTGTTACTCCTTTACAGAAAGTGAAGGAAAGGGAATATTAGGCTGTTCAAAAAAAATAGCAGTGTCCATATTCTTCTTTACAAACTCAAAGGTCCACTGTATGAACTGAAAAATGTTTTAAGATTTTGCTTTCCTTTGAATCATTGAACTAATATTTAATTGTATAACCACTGTTTCTGAGAAATGCTGCACATCTGCGTTGTATGGAGTCGACCAACTTCTGGCACCTGTGAACAGGTATGCCAGCCTGATTGGACTACATTTCTTGGTTTTGCCTCAGAAACAGCATTTTTGATGTCACCCCACAAGTTTTCTATTGGATTAAGGTCCGAGGATTGGGCAGGCCACCCCATAACATTAATCTTGTTGGTCTGGAACCAAGATGTGGCTCATGTGTTCGGGGTCGTTTTCTTGTTGAAACACCCATTTCAAGGACATTTCCTCTTCAGCATAAGGCAACATGACCTCTTCAAGTATTTTGAGGTATTCAAACTGATCCATGATCCCTGATATGTGATAAATAGGCCCTCCACCGTAGTATGAGAAACATCCCCATAACATGATGCTTGCACCACCATGCTTCACTGTCTTCACAGTGTACTGTGGCTTGCATTCAGTGTTTGGGGGTCATATGATAAACTGTCTGCAGCCACTAGACCCAAAAAGAACAATCTTGCTTCCATCAGTCCACAAAATGTTGCGGCGTTTCTCTTTAGGCCAGTCAATGTGTTCTTTGGCAAATTGTAACCTCTTCAGCACGTGTCT